TTGCTCCTTGCTTGCCTGTGCCATCACGAAGTACGTTCCCCGGTCGCCAATCTTGGATCAGTGGTAATTCTGGCATCCTTTGATAATCGACCCTCCATCCCCAATCAAGAGCGTTTCGCAAGGTCAAATCAAATGCAACAATGAAAGATCCGAATTGAATCGAAGTTCAAGATTGTTGTGATTAATCTTGAATGGCCCGAATTCAAAAAGAGCGTGTCAAAAACCCTGGCGCGCATTTCCGCGGCATTAAATTCAAATTACATCCCGACACGGACCTGGCTGTTGTAAAGCACGTGACCTTCTTCGCTGGTGGTCGCGTGGTGAATTAAAATTCTTCTCGTGCGAGAGGATTTCGATTTGAGGCGAAGAGAATTCACGGATTCTTACATGCATGCTGCTTTAGAGAGGGACGGCAGCTTCAGCAGATCGACTTCTTGCCTTTGTCTCTCGTGGAGCTCGCCTGCGTCACTACGACTTGCACTGCGATTGTCTTCGCACGGCATCTGTCTCAACCTCTTCGTCTTGGCATAAACACTGGCGTTTACTTGCACACAACCTGTTCCACGCATCACCTTTGCGTTTGGTCATCAGCATCATAACCTTCATCCGCCACTGCAACCGGACAAAAACATCGACCTTCGCCACTCAGACTGTAGTTACCCGTTCTGCTGACGATCCTTACTCTGAGCTGATCTGCACCGCTCTCCCCTTTTTTGTACCATCACATCCTCGCCTTCTGTTGACGGCACGACTAGGCGCGAGGTACAGCCATCATGCTCACGAGGCAAAGACTGCTGCGTCGATGTTCTGAGCGGGCTTGTCGAGCACCGACATGCAACCAATTGCAGGCAGGCACGTCCAGAAGCGTCTCGCTGGGAATGGTTCAGAGCGCCCAATCATTTGTGACGCAGAGTCGTCGCATTCACTCCAGTGCCGAAGCATTGGCGCCACCTGCTGACGCATCAGCTCAGGCAGACTCGCATCGTTCATCGCAATCGCAACCATTCTTGGATCTGAGACCCTTCGCCCAAAAGTCCACCACCCGCTTGCCTACTCCCCTTCCAGGCTACCTCAATGACCGTTATAGCGCAGCGCTTAAGCTCCGTGCCAAAGGAACTGCTGGAGGCGATCCCGAGCTGGATAGAGGAACGCTCAAGGCGCTCAGGGAGCACAATCAGTATTTCATGCCGAGCAGCAAGTTGGAAAATCTGGGCGTGCTGCAAGCGTGCATCGCGTCCGGTTTGATCGAACGAGCGGCGAAGCTGTTCGAGGATATGCGCATCACGGACGATGTCAAGCTGGAAGGCGATGATCGCCGCGGTCCAGCTCAGCGTTCTTCCACTCTGGACATCGGCCTCTACAACACTATGCTGAGCTCCTATCTCGACAAGGCCTGCAAGGTAGACAGCCGCGAAGAACAATCTCGATGGGCTTCGACCGCCCTCGCATTGTTCTCAGACATGCACACCGGCTCGCGTGGCGCTCCTGCCCCAAACGCCGCCACCTATGCCGCTACGCTGCACGGCTTTGCCTTGTGAGTGCATATTCTAGCAGCGAGGTTTGATGGACGACAGGGAGCAGTCGAGCAATGGTCATGAGAGGGGCGATCTCGCCTGCCTGTGCCAGACGTCCGCACAGGTCTGCATCAATTGATTGTATCCTTCTCTGCTTCTTGACCGACCAACAGGCTTACTCGAGGAGGGCCACAAGCGCGCAGGCCGGATGTGGTCGAAGTGCTGCGCTCTGCACGTAGCTCCAGGATACCCCTGAGCGACATCTTCAGTCCAGCCATGTTTGCACATGTGGCTCTCAACTGGAACTCCACAGATATCTTGACGCCTTCTGATGCCATCAATGTCCTGGTTTCGATCGCCAGCTCACACGGCGAGGAGAGCATCGTTGAAGAGCTGCTTCAGCTCCGTGACCAGCTGGACGGCGATGAGAGAGGGCAACGTCTGGCAGAACACGCTTCAAGACGCGATACCAATCTTGAGGAGCTCGAGCCCACGCGTTCTGTGAGTAATTGGCCTGCCCTTCTTCCCCAGCTTTGAAACTTCGCGCTTGCTCACGTTTTAGCGCCTTTGACACAGACCTTGAAAGATGCTGAGGGAAATGAGAACGACATCCTCTTCAACCTCCGTCTCCTGAAAGAAAATCTATCGGCAGTGAGCGAGGCCAGAGCCCGCCACTCGAGCGCACTCGCGCGCCAGAGGTGGCTCGAGGAAAGCGCTTTCGAATCTGCGAGGAAGCGATTGGAGCACGCGGCACAGCAACTGGAAGAGCTGGGCCTGAGTCACACTTCCAAGCTGAAACATCGAACGCTTCAAACGTGGATGTGGTCCTGGTACCAAGAGCTCTCAAAGGTACTCGAAGCAGACCTTACGCGCATAGAGAAGAGTCTCAACAAACCGGCTAAGAGGGCACGGAAAAAGTCTGAGGGCGAGACTGCGGTCATGGAGGAAGAAATAGCTGCGAGAGTGCCTGAACGAGAGTTCGTCTCGCCGAACAGAATCTCCATTCCTAACCTTGAGACCAGCATGCTCCCCTTTCTGCGCACTCTACCGGTCAAGAAGCTGGCGCTGATTCCCATCCTGGAGATCATGCGCATGCAAAGTGGTACGCCAGTCTTTGATGGCATGAAGACTACCCGCGTCTTGTTGGCCATTGGTCGCGCCATCGAGCAAGAATACTTCGGCGAGCGTCGTCAAAAGTACAATCGATTACGGCAGCGTCATGGCGCCGAAGATCATCAACCTATTTCGGAGGACGCGCTGGCAGAGACACAGTGGTCGCAGCAGACGAGAGCACGCGTGGGCAGCTACTTGGTCCAGCATCTGATGCAGGTCGCTAAAGTGCCTCGCTCGGCTCGGGACAGGCATGGTCGGCTGTGGGAAGAGAATCAGCCCGCATTCTATGCGGCGTACCAGTACGTTGCTGGCAAAAAGCTCGGCGTTATTCGACTAAACGATGCGCTGCTGGAGAGGCTGGACAAGGACTCGATCGCGGACAGCGTACATCCC